ATTGTAATTGGGGGAGAGGAAGAGGGATATAATGTTTATTATAATTACATTTCTCAATCATAATTAAAATAAAATAAAATAAATAAAATAAATAATAATTAAAAACTGGAAAAATTCTTTTTTCCAAATCGATCAGAATCTGGAACCGTGCGGCACAATGACGACGATCACGCGGTTGGATTGCGGCTGTATCCAGGAGACGACGAGGCCAATTTTCACGACGACGAAGGGCCGCGTCCAAAGAAGGAATTGCACTCTATCCCAGGAGGAGAAGCTTCTCAAGTTGATCTCGTTGAATCCGCAGGAGCACCTGTTTCCCTCGTTGGAACAAGCGAAGGATAGATATCGCATGAAATCGAAGAAACGATTGAATCCCCGATCTCATCCGAAAATTCCTCCCGCCGGTGATCAAGAATTCGAGGTGGAGAACGAGAAAAAGGTGGAGGAGCCGGAATCAGAGATTATCGAGCACGTATCGAGAGTATCTCCCCAACGAAAATTCAGCGACACTTCGGCTACTTCTTATTAGAAACGAAAATTTTATTCCTTTCTTTTTTTTAAATCATACAAAGTGCTTGTATTCTTCTATACACATGTACACACATATATATATATATATGTATAATAATGTTCTTTAAACGATATGAAATTATCTAAGAGTATCAATAAACGAATTCAACAAAACCATTGAACAACCATTTGCGTTAAACATCAGAGCGTTAGAATCATGGAATCAGTTTCGATAAATTTCAGTTAACCGGGCAATTTATTCGATGATCAAAGGTCAAAAATAATTCTCTAAATTGCAGGATGAACGATTTAAGGCTAACTACCGATTCCGTAATCGCACACATAGGTATCACGTTTTTAAACGCTATACTCCACTATGCGCTTTATAGAGCTGTCGCAGCCACGATCATGCTGATCAAAGAGACGATATTTTGGTTGTTCCGGAAGGTAGTGAAATTTCGTAGTGCGACCACCACCAACGAATCGGCTCGATCCCCGATGTCATGTAACGTTTAACGTTTATATTTCGAGGATAAATTTTTGGTAAGAATTTGAATCGAGATCGAAAATTTCAAATTTCTCCGATGATAATTTAAAAATAATTCAATTCTCGCGA